ATATATATATATATATATATATATATATATATATATATATATATATATATATATATATATATATATATATATATATATATATACGCACCCAACTTATAGATCGATCCAGTATATTGCCTCTTACTAGATAATACCTGCATGGAACCAAGAGGAGGGTGCTTCACATTTTCATGCATCCATTGGCCATGGCCTTTCAGCCTTTTGCTTCCTCTGCTATTGTTTTCTTCACGAGGCTTATCAGCTTCCCTATCAGACGCTCGTTCCACTGATCACCTTGCCCTCCTCTCCTTCAAGTCCTTCGTCTACGATGATCCATCCAAAGCGTTGGCCTCCTGGAACAGCTCCCTCCATTTCTGCCAGTGGCAAGGGGTGAGGTGCCACAACCGTAGTGGTGAACCGAGGGTCACAGCTTTGGAGCTGGTGTCTCTGCGCTTGGCGGGCGCGTTGTCACCATCCCTAGCCAACCTCACCTTCCTCCGGAGACTCGACCTCTCCACCAACAGTCTTCAGGGTCCCATTCCCCAAGAGCTCGGACTTTTGTCCCACCTTCGGCATCTCCGGCTGGACAATAATTCTCTCGATGGGACGATCCCTCTCTCTCTGTTTCAGAATTGCTCCAAACTTCAAACCTTCAACCTGCGGCTTAACAATTTGATTGGGGCTGTCCCACGCAATCTCAGCGATTGTTTGGAGCTACATATTATTCGTTTGGATAACAATGGGCTTGAAGGAGAGATCCCCAGTGATCTCGGTTCCCTGTCGAAGCTTTCCTGGCTCGACCTCTGGAGTAATAGCCTCGCAGGGAGCATTCCTCCACAGATTGGCAATCTTGCAAGCCTAACATTACTTTCCTTGGCCGGCAACAATCTCAACGGCCCCATTCCTGCTGCCATAGGAAACCTCTCCTCTCTTAGCCAACTTGTTTTGTCAAATAGTCAACTTACAGGAGCCATCCCAGCTACAATAGGGAACCTCTCCTCTCTTACCTGGCTTGATCTGTCAAATAATTCTCTTGCAGGGACCATCCCACCTGAAATTGGGAATCTTGTTCACCTTGGATATCTCGATTTGCATATTAACCATCTCAACGGCACCATCCCATCTGAGATAGGGAACCTTGTGAATTTGACCGCTTTGTTCTTAGGTGGCAACCAACTGAGTGACACCATTCCAATAAGTTTGGGGCACCTACAAAGTTTATATATATTGATACTCACCAGTAATAAGCTGGAAGCAAGGAATGCCGCTGAGTGGAGCTTTTTAGATGCCTTGACCAACTGCACCCGTTTTGCTGTATTGGATACCGCAAGCAACAATCTAGGTGGCATGCTGCCAAAATCCATAGCCAATTTGTCTACAACTCTTATATGGCTAAACTTGTATGACAACCAAATATATGGGAGCATTCCTGCAGAGATTGGAAATCTTATTAACTTGAACACAATTGGCATGTGGTCGAACCTTCTCAGTGGTACCATTCCTGCATCACTGGGAAGCCTTGTTAGATTAGAAACATTAAAGTTGGGCGCAAACAAATTGGTGGGAGAAATCCCGGTAACTCTGGGTAACCTGACCAGATTAAGCAGTCTTAGTCTGGCCAGCAATGAATTGTATGGATCCATTCCTTCGACTCTCGGAAAGTGCCCTCTAGAAACCTTGGATCTTGCATCCAACAAGTTAAATGGTACGGTGCCCAAAGACATCATGTTCATCCCCACCTTCAACAAGTACCTCAATGTTTCACACAATTCACTGTCAGGATTCCTGCCTTTCGAAATTGGAAAGTTAATAAACATCCAAACCATTGATGTCTCCGATAATAGATTGTCCGGTGGCGTGCCCAGCACTATTTCTGAATGTGAGGTCCTGGAAAATCTTTACATGCAGGGGAATCTTTTCCAGGGATCCATTCCTTCATCATTGAACCAGCTAAAAGGGCTGCAAGTGCTGGACCTTTCGAGCAATAACTTGTCCGGTCAGATACCGAATTTCCATAACATGACTTATCTCAATCTCTCCTACAACAACTTGGACGGTGAAGTGCCAAAAGTCGGGGTCTTCAGCAATGCAAGTGCATTCTCAGTGGCAGGAAACAACAATCTCTGTGGGGGTGTTCGAGAGCTTGGTTTGAGACCATGCCCTGACCAAGCATCAAAGAAGAAACATCTGTCTGGGAAGCTGATCGCGGTCATCTCACTTGCAGCAGGAATTTTATGCGTCATCTTTCTTCTCTCTTTGTTTGCAGCTCGTTGGTGGTTCCACAAGTCAAGGACACATTCTCCTGTAGCCTCATGCATCAAAGAACAACATAGGAAGGTCTCTTTTGCGGAGCTGCTCAGAGCAACAGATGGATTTTCGCCTGCTAATCTGATTGGAATGGGAAGCTTCGGCTCTGTGTACAAAGGAACCATGGATTGGGAAGACCACAAGGCTGTCGCAGTGAAGGTGCTCAACCTCCTGCAAAGAGGGGCTTCAAGAAGCTTCACAGATGAATGCGAAGCTTTGAGAAACATCAGGCATCGGAATCTGGTCAAGGTACTAACATCATGCTCAGGTGTTGATTTCCGAGGGAATGACTTCAAAGCTCTAGTTTTTGAGTTATTGCAAAATGGCAGTCTGGACAAGTGGCTCCATCCTGAAGCGGATGAACGGGGCACATCACGAACACTAAGCCTCATCCAGAGAATGAATATATCGATCGACGTGGCTTCTGCACTGGGGTATCTTCATCACCATGGTCCAACCCCTATCGTCCATTGTGATCTCAAACCGAGCAATATTCTTCTGGATCATGACATGGTTGCACATGTGGGTGACTTTGGATTGGCAAGGTTCCTGAGAAGAACTGTCAGCAAGTCATTCCAGAGATCAACAAATTCAGTCACATTGAAAGGGTCCATCGGCTATGCTGCTCCAGGTGTGATTCTCATATATGCAGTTTCATTTGTTTCAAGTGCTAGTTTTTACCACAAAGAAATGTCTAAAACTCTTCTTGGAATATTCATCTCAATAGTGCACAGCATCTTTACATCATTTAGGGTATCAAGTGAAACTTCTTGAGAATCCACATTCGAGTTGTCATGTTGCAGCCATAAAGGAGTATTGGTCTAACAATCAGTTGCTCAACTTTTATCTGGTTCTCTATTCAACTATACAAACTTTCTTATGGGTATATACATCATCCTGATCTATGATTTATAGTCTCAAATATAGGTATTCCCTTCAGTAGTATTTTTTTAGGATTTCATGTTTTAGAGATCCTCAATGTCTTTCTTAATTTGTCCAATATAAAAGAATCTTGATGGAGATTCTGTAACTATCTTTCTCATCAGATCTGTAGGTATTTCATTTGTGATTTGGTACAACCAATAGAATTCAGGTTAATAATCAGTAGATCAACGCGTATCTGGGTTTCTCATCTTATAATTGATTTCAATTTATACAAAATTTCTTACTGATATACATGCATTTCAGAGTATGGGATGGCCAATAAGGTTTCAGTTCAAGGGGATGCGTACAGTTTTGGAATACTCTTGCTGGAGATGTTCACCGGTAAGCGGCCTACCGATGATAGCTTAAAAGGTCTGAACCTTCATCAATATGTTGAGATGGCAGTTCCAGAGAAAGTTGTTGAGATCATAGACCCATGCTTGTTATCAGAAGAAGGAGAAACAGAAGCAGAAGCAGATCGCACTAATCCATCAACAAGTGAATTCAGTACGAGAGCACTAGAGTGCATTACTTCAGTGCTTAGAGTTGGTATTTTATGTTCCAAGGAATCACCAAAAGAGCGAATGCACATGGAACGTGTCATAAGAGAACTGCATGATATCAGGGATGCAATTCTGTGAGGACAGAACAGCAGGAGAAAAGCTATAGTTTGACAGGGCAACGAGGGTTCATCCACTATTGCTTTGAGCAAAATAGGCTAATAAATTCTGTACTGCATATAACCTAGAATTTCCGCTCATAAGATTCCATAAACATATGGACAATGCTCCTAGAATTAGAATAATCATGGATTGTACAATTGTACTTCTGTTAATGAGTGCTCTGCTTCCATAGGCACCAATGCATTTCACAGTTGTGAAACTATTTTATTCTTTATGAGCGGAAATGTTGCAATGTGATTGATGATTGTACGGTAATTCATCCATCCATTGGTAGTGAAAAATGTCAGTGTATTTAGCTTCCATCCTTGCTTCTCTTTAGATCAGAGACTGTTCGGTAAGTTAAGAACATGTAGAACAAAGGCATGGGTCCCTAGTTTTCTGGCTGCATGATGTACTTGACTCCCATGAAAGTGAATACCATGAAGCAAAGGTGGGAAACAAGATTAAAAGGTGTTCAATTTGATTGGGTAGTGTTCCATCAAAATTTCTGGAAACAAGAATCTTGCTTGGTGAATAATATGAATGTCTGTAGTAAGAAATAATACAAATATGATCACAACCCAACATGACACCAAAATAAGACAGATGAGAGGAAGAAGGTGATCTCACTATTAATGAGTTAAGACTTCAAGGTTAGGATAGCATTTGATCAACGAGGGAGACGGAGAAGGAAAAAGAGTAGGAGAGATGGATGGTTAAAGCATCAGAAGGCTACATGAGTGTCTTAATTTTTCTTTTTTACTTGTTTTTAGTATATAACAAAATAGAATTAATAAAACGAATGATGACATAGCACTCACTATACTGAGAGGTCAGAAATTTGAAGACTCAATAAATTGACTCCACTCAAACTTCATTCAAGCTAAGTTGATTCCGACTTGATTGAGATTAATATTTGAGAATAAAAAATTAAACTCTCTTTATATAGCCTTTGTTAACACTTTAATGATTATGTTTTTCGTTATGCTCCATATTCAAAACCTTTTTATGGGAAATAATATCTAGCATAAGATAGAAAAGAAATAACAAATAAGAGCATACTATAGTATCAATAACCTAACACAAATGAAATCAACTAAAAGCAAGTAACAAAATATCATCAGAACGAACATATACCATGATTACTAAATCAGTTCATGCTATCGACGCTTCATGATCTCATGAATTCCATAAAATTCTCTCTTCATACAATGATCAATTTAAATCTTGTAATCTTAACCGCTCAAATCGAGAATATATTGGAATTAAGACACATCAATTACTTGATAGAAAAAAAATCGTTCCAAAAAATTAGATACATATAAAAACGCATCCAATGTCCAGAGTCATAAAACGAACTTACAAGAACAACCCCAAAAGAAGATAAAATAAGAAGAGATCTGGCGGAGAGAGGGATCAAAGAGATCAGTAATACCTGGGTCTTGGGAACTAGTGAAGACAGAGAGATCGATGCAGACTACAGAATGCGAGCATTCGTCGTGGATCTCATGGAAAGCGCTGGTAGAGCTCATCGACGGAGGAACAGAGACGCCACCTTGAAAGAGGCGACGAGGGAGTGGAAGGACGGATAGAACACACCGCAAAGAAGAGAAGGGGGTGGGGGGGAAATGAGCAACTGTGATTTAACGCTACTCCCGTATTTTTATATTACACCCCTTTCCGTGTCACTCCTGCCTTGCAGTTTTGTTCCGTTACCCAGAAATGGGTGTAAGCATAGCTTAACAAACACTCTGTTTGCAACGTTGGACCGAGCCGGCTCAGCCTAGCTCGGCCTGGACGCATCTAATCATAATTCTCAGGTTTGATTGGGTTCGGACTCGAGTCGATCGATTTGATCAGTAAGAAGATTTGATCGAATCCTGGCTCAACTCACGTGGTTCGATCAAACCGATGGATTTGATCAGATCCCAATCCTAACAACCTCCTTCCCCTCCGTCTCCTTCCCCAACAACAAAACCACGTGGCGCTGGCGGTGCGTAGCCCCGCCCGCGTCTCGCGAGCCATAGTGCCCGCGCGTCTCACTCGGCCCTCGCTAGTGCAGGGCAGCCGATGACCGGCGTTCGTGGCAACGTGGCTCCCCTCCCTTCAGCGCACCGGCGCCTCTCTCTCTTCCGACGGTGCAGCCGACGGCCCTCCGTGCCTCCTGCTCTCATCTCCGATGCCCTAGAGCCGGGCTTCCCCTTTCCCCTGCTCTGAGTCCCCACCCGGCGTCCTCCTGCTCTCGGCACCCCTCCCCTGTTCGCTTCGAATGATTGCACTTCTCTAACCCTTCTTGCCCATTCGAGAGCGGAGAGCTAATGCGTTCCACTTATCGAACAGGGTCTATGATTGATCTGTGACCACCTCGGGCATTTTGGAACCTTGATGCCTTCTAGCGCCTTTCACAATACTGCTAATGTCGAGGCAGTAGTAAGTCTGGATGCATTGCATTTTTCGCATAGGAAGAAAAGATGTTGTTAAGACCAGAAGACGCAAAGGATTGGTTCTACAAAGGAGAAGGAGCTGCCAATATTGTCCTGGGTTATTGTGGCTCTTCTCTCTCGCTGGTAAAGTGTTTATGCCATTAACTTGTGATCTTGATAAGCTTCTCTGCTGGTTTATAGCGTTTTAAGTGCATCGTTTGTTATTATTATCATTTCATGGGATTGTATATATAACTGAATATGTTATGCTTGGAAATGGGTGTTTTTATGGAGCAGGTTGGTAAGGTATTACGGATTCAAAAGGTTGCAAAAGGCAGAAGCCGGTCTCCAAATGGATGCTTGGTCCTATCTAATCATGAAAGGCTAGTATGGAGAGACATTGGTGAACTCGTGGAGTGCACTTCAAAAGATGTTGCTGCTAGAGCTTTTATTCAACATGTCATGAGTAATCTATTGGACTCCAAGCATGTAGATGCTGGTGTATGTTATTCTTACTGCCTCGACAATTTCTTTTCTTATCTGAACTGGTTATTTCTTTAGTTGCTATGTTCATAATTTTTTTGTTCTCCATTTAACATAATTAAATATGCATCCTGAACCTTTTCCAAATTTGAACACATTTAATATTTCACATCCAGCAAAGTCATGTATTTTTATTTTTGCATTTGACGTTATAACATCTGTGTTAGTGCATTATATAATATTGTTTATTGTTCCGCGAAGGAACTTATAGGTGGTGAAATGAACCCGACAGGTGCTAACTTATATGCCTTGTATTTCTGCAATTACATGAAATGTTTTTCAAGACCATAGTCCCCGGAAGTTGTTATTGATCATCTTAGTTTTTTTGCTCTGGTTGAAATAGTATGGCTTGAATGTCAGATATATTTTTAGATTTGCCAAACAGTCTCTTATATTCTCATACTTTTTTATGTTTAAAGTCCTTCCAATATGCAGATTCTTGTCCATGTTTCCAAGGAATTCTTGGAGGCTGTTGAGGGAAATATTAAGAGTCAACGTCCTCCATGGCGGGTTGATGCATCCAAAATTGATGTACTGCACGAATCTGCGCTTCTTATTTCTGACCATTCAATTATTAGTGGTAAGGGATAATCTAAATAGCTAATCTTTTTTTTTAATGACAAAGTTCATATACAAGCTTGCTATCAAGGAATACCTCTTGCCAAGACCATAGAAGCAGCATGCAGCCAACGATTTTAAGAATGATAGTGTGAAATTTACCGTATCTCAAATGTCATGCCTTTAAAGCGTATCGAAGTATTTTTCACAAATGAGATTATACTAGTTTGGTAATGAGATGCTTGTAAACCCTGTTTATAGATTGCTTTGTCCTACCTTATTTTGTGAAATATCAACTTGTGTTAGAATTGGTGAATGTTAGCTGATCAAAGAAGAAACATGACGGTCAAAGGAAAATAGAATCAAATTTTAGAACATACAAGGTTTTTATCGATAACTTGGTACCATTGAAGATGGACCAAATTAGTGTGGTTTTTTTCCCCCTTCCCTCCTTTGGCTATTATGTGATGCTTTTGATTGTCTATGTTGAGTTTGTCTGGGGTAAAGAATTTTTCAAGACAAGTTATAGCAAAGGGCTTAATAAGATGTAATATCTACCAGCCGGAGCCTACTTAGAGTGAAAATGGTAACATCGAAGATATAATTTTTGAGAGATAAACGGCAATACTCTAATGATGTGTCCAAGGGCCCATAGCCATGTATTGATGGTATTTGTGATGATAAGACCCACAAAAATCCCTCTAAAACTTGATGTTATAACTCTCAAAATTCAACTTTTAATAGAATAATAATTAGCCTAACCTATATCGTATTCAAATTACAGTTTTTGGACACTTTTAGACCTTCAATTGGACACTGAATGCCATTTGATACTGTCATTAAAATTAATGATGAAAGTAGATAGAATTCAACTGACCCACCAGTAAAATATTTATTATAAATTAAACATTAGAGACTTTCTGAAAACTGACATTAATAACAATGACAAAATGCACCTATATCCTTAATCCAAGTACAAATTGGTTTAATTACATAGTCAGACTTTGACTAATTCTGGTCAAACTCCAGTTTGACTATGATAGATCTATGGTTTAATTAATCAAGTTAATCTGTCGGATTTAATCCAGGATAAAAAATGAAGATGAAATCATTCTGAGATTGGTCAGATTAATTACTTGCTTTCTTTTTGTGCCCTGGCTTTCAATTGTAGGGCTAAATTGGGAAAGGCCCTCCTGGCCAGCTTGAAGCAGATTCAAGAATTCACAGTTAAATAAAGATTTAGTGCTTGTTTTTGTTGGAGGTTTTAAGGGACACACATGTGTTGATGTTTATTTAATGACAGTTTTATTAGCTTTTGATACATGTATATTCTTTGCTATCAATTTCTTGATTATCGTTGTCCATCTCTTCCCAAATTGGTCTTTTTCTCTATTTTCTGCTTTTGACAATAGTGCAAGTTATCCACATTGGTCCTGCCATTGTGTGTCTATTTTGTTTCTTGCAATTTTTCTATGTTTAATGTACTTACTACAATGCTCACTATATAAATGTTAATGCCTCATAATATACTCCACATTCTTCATGACACTTGGTGCAATTTCAGGTACTCCAAAACATGACCTCTGCATTGCAGTAGAAATAAAGGTGCTTTATTTCTGAGTAGATTTTTTTATTTCTTTTCCCATTTTTAGTTTAGTTGCTCTATATGCTTGGTCTCTTCTTCTGACCATTTCGTTT